GACATCATTTAAGTCATTTTACTCTCACAAAAAGGTGAGATTTACGTCTTTATTTTTTTTGGTCCACTCTTTTTCTCTTTTTATCTATCTATTTTTCTCATTTAAAATGACACAATTTTTTACACACAAAAAAAGTGACACAATTTTACATCCATCCTATAAATGACACACATTTTATCTTATTTTTTATCATATTGTCATGTGTTCAAGTTCGTTATCAGTTATAGTGAACTTGATTAGGTCACGTGGTACATTTCAATTAACGTATCAAGTTCGTTATTAGTCGTAACAAATTTCATCGGCTATAATTTTATGATATGTGCACACTTTGCAAGAAAAAAGCCGACAAAACTAAGTTCATTATTACTGAGAGCGAATTTAAACGTGTGATAATAAGGTAAAAATTATTATTCGCGTGAAATTTAAATAATTTTTTTTAAAAAAATATAATAATTTGGCCACTGTTTCCTAATTTTTGATAATAATATCTAATTTTCTCATCTTATTTAAGAGGAGAAAATAGAAAAAACCTTGGACACACAGACAGAGTGAAAGTGAAATGTTACGGTCTAGGGGTCCCTTTGTCCAGCGTGCTATCGGCGGGACCTTTCCTTACTCCTTGTGGACGTTTGAATGTCGATATATCACATGAATGGGTCCTCCAAGTTCATTTCAAAGATAATACGACACCGCATGATTTTCAAAAAGCAAAATAAGCTGGCATTCTATTTCCTTGTTTTCAGTCACAATTTTAGAGTACTAGACTCTAGATTTAGGGTGTTAAGAGAGCCCTAGGATTCTGCATGGGTCGCGTCGAGTTTTTGGTTTTATGAGTCAGGTGCATGGGTCGCGTCGAGTTTTTGGTTTTATGAGTCAGGTAGGTGTTTTGACTCGATTTAGATTAATTTAATCCAAGTCAGGTTTGACCCGATTTAAATTTTTTTTGAATTGATTCATAACTAAATCAGATCTGACTTGACTTAATTTCTGAAGTGAGCCTGACTTAATTTCAAAATCGGATCAAATCAAACCTGACTCACTTTTGACTTGGTTTCAAAAATTATTTTTTATTTGATTTTTTTTATAATTATTGATTTAATTTTTAAACTCATATAATTTAATTATTTATTTGTTATATAAATTATATAATAAATTTGATATTTGTTGAATATATACTAATTCTTCAAACATAGATAACTACTAGTAATACATTCTCTAAGATCACTTTCATGAAGATAACTATAAATAGTGCTATAATAGAGAAACGAATTAAGTAAATCAAAGTTTGAGCGAAAAATTACGAGTTGAAGCATCTCTATTCCATTGATCAGTTTATATTCATTAGGTTAGCATGTTCAATACTCACAAACTGAAATGAAACTGAATAATTGAAGCTGTTGGTTTGTTACAAATCACTACAAAAATTGTTTGAGAACCTAGAGTGAATTTGCTTGGAGACAGAGGAGAAGAGTGAAGAGGCAGAGTGATAGACGAAGAGAGATCGAGAGAAGAGAGAACATAATCTCCAAATTGTTTTACCGTGATTTTTGGTTTTTTTTTTTCACAAAATGAATATGGGCCAAATTTTGGGTCAATAGCTTAATTATTTAAAAAACTCATGTCTAAAATTAATCCAAATATAAGTGGATCAATATATAAATTCAGTTAAAAAAATGGGTATTTAAGGGTCAGATCAAGGAAAGGCAACTGAACCATTTTTTTTGCATAGCCCTAGAGAGCCGGGTCTTTCAAAGATTTTTGGCTCATCTCGTGTAGATTTAATTTGATTTATGTATTTTAGTTATTGAATTCAAATTTAGACTTGTATTAAAGTTTATTTAATAAAGAGATCCAAGACTCCAATTTAAAAGTGTGACCTTAAATCTCGTTGGGTTAGCCTACTAACTCTTTTTGTATTTTTTATACTAACATAATTTTCATTCCCATCGTCACACCCAGTCTACTCAAGCTATTAAGCAATTGTTCCCAACTCCGTCATTCTCTTCGTCGAAGCCATCTCCAAGCATTTCATCATCATTTTCCTTTTCGATTTCTGTAATCTCCGAGCTTTTCACCTTTCTGTCTTGTTGAAGGTCTCTCTTCGTCTCTTGTTGGTCTCTGATGAACCTTTAGTTTATCTTGTTTAATGGGCTAAAATAATATGAATTATCTAGTTGAACAAGTCAAAAATTAGGGTTTTAAAATGATAATCATGAACATTATCTGATTGTTGGAACTAATTAATATATTTGTTATTTTTAAAGGGATTTGATAACAAATGATTCAAATATGAAGATTTAGATAAAGAGAGATCAAATCAGAAAAGAAGATGAATCAAGGTGAAAACAATAAGATTGAAGATCTTATCAAGTTGTTAGAAGTGGGAGCTTAAGCCCCCATTCAGAAGCTTAAGCTCTCCAAAAAACGCAATTGCCACTGCCTCTGGGCGCTTAAGCCCCCAACTCAAGGCTTAAGCGCAGGACAAGAAGAAAGTTTCGTTGCGAGGAGCGCGCTTAAGCGCCCTCCAGAGCGCTTCAGCGCGCAACGCGAGTCAGAAATCACCGTCCTAGGGCGCTTAAGCGCGCTACAACAAGCTTAAGCGCCCATTCAGATCCAACTTAGGCCCATTCAAGTTTTCTACTGCAATACGAACTCTTGACCTATTTAAACACCATTGGGTACCAGAAATACATAACTTTTACATTGCTAAACAACTCTTGGGTGCTCGGAGGCTGAAGGAACGCGGAGGAACATCAGATTCATGTTCGTGAGCGGCGGAGACGGATCAACGTCAAGTGTTCACTGGAGATATTGAAGATCCACCAATCACTTATGGAGTTTGGGGGAGCTTTTCTATTTTCTTTTGTTCTTGATTTTGCTATGTCCGGCTAGTTCTTTAAGTAGTTAGGGTTAGATGGATTTTAGTCGATTTATTATGTTTTGAATAATTCGCTGTGTTAATTTTCCTTTATGTCATGAATGAAGTTATCTGTTTTTAATGCTTTATATAGGCTTGAATCTTATATAATGATCATCGGTGAATGCATGACAATAGGAATGTTGGTGTGTGATCCATATCTGTTAACTTCATCGTAAACGTTATGATTCTAGGGATAGACATAGGGTTTGCGTAATCTTTAAGATTCTTGAACTTAATGCTTGCATGCTTGGGGAATAACCGGGGAACTAGGGTTCTTCCAATATTGTAAAGGTTTTAGAGTAACAAGGGATTGAGCTCTAATAACATGCGAAATAATTGATTAGATTGATACTAAGGACAATTAACATTAAGAAGGAATTCAAACGTAATAAGGAGATTAAATGAAATCGAACCCCTAGCTACGCTTTTATTTTATTAGTTAAATCACATCTTTAATTTTTTTGTCTTTAATTCTTGTAAGTAATTAGCTTAATATTTAATATTTTAATTTTGCAATTCAAATCCTGTTTCCAAATACACTTTCGATTGTCCAACTAAGTTTGCGATGGTGAATTAGTGCTTGAACTGTAATCCTCGTGGGAACGATCTCTTACTTAATCATATATTACTTGTACGATCGGTGCACTTGCCGTGAGTAGCAACAGTCTCTTTTCTGTTATTATTGATATATTTTTGCGTAATGTTAACTTTAATTTGTTTGCAGAGGCTATTTAGCGTTTTTCGATTCTTATTTTTGTTGGCACTGTTCATTTTTCATATGTAATAGCTGAAAAAATGGATGTATTATTATTATTATTATTATTATTTTCTGATTTTTTTAGATTTATGATTTTAAATGATTTAGTTTATTGGTTAAGCAGAATTTTTAAATGATATACATTGAATTTATGAATCTTTATGGAATTATGAGTGTTATTGATCATATATTTTGTTTGGATAAATTTTTATTGTCTTGTTATATTTAACAGACTAAGAAAGAGTTTTATTTTTTGTACAAAAGGCAGGCCACATGCCGATAATTATATTCATAATATATTACATGTTAGGTCAATTTGACATATTTAAACACAGACTTAGTCTTTCAAGACCAAAACTCAGCTCGTTAACACCCCTATTATAGATAGAATGATATGCTTATTTTAAGCTTTGTTTTGTTGACTTGAGATAAAATCTCTGTTCGCGGTGTGGATTAAATCAGTTTTGAAGCAAAAATTATTCGATCCAATTCTTTTGATTTGATTATTTAATCATCCATTTTGTTTGATATTTTTTTAATCTGATCAAATACAATCCAATTTTATTCGTTTTGGAATGGATTGATTTTCGATTTTTCAAAAAGCCTAAAATTTCAGCCATATAAATCACTAGTTATATCAAAATAAAGTCATTCAAAGTTACAAACCATTGAAAAATTTATATTTTCAAATTAAGACAAGTCTTAAAACTCATGAAGAGTTAAAATAAATTTATAGACAATAAAAAACTAAAACAAGATAGTTTGCTATCGATAACATCCAATATTTCAAGTCTACAAAATAACAAGATTTCAAGTCATTTTATCTTTAAAAAATAATAAATACATAATACATTGAATTTTTTTGGATTAGATCGATTTTTACCAACCAAACCAAAAATTGATCCAATCTAATTAAAATGTGCATTTTTTTTATTTTTAATTTTTCGATTCACGGTTAATTCGATTATCAATTTTTCGATTCAATCACCGCGGTTTGAATCGATTTAAATCGGTTGATTAACGTCCTTAATCTCAAGTATTAGTTTAATCATCACTTCCAATGGCCTTACATATACCTATAAAAGTTTAGTGATTTTATAATTATATATTTTATATTATGAGGGATACACAATTTTATCTTATTCAAGGGACACTACATTTCTCTTTTGGGCAATGTTATTAAACTCGACCCGGTTATTGAACCGGTCGAGGTACTGGGTCACTAGTTCAACCACATGACCCGATAAATATATATATAAATTTATAAATTTTATATCAAAAAAATTATAAACGTATTAACATACATGTAAAAAAATAAAAATAATGGCAACAAATGGGTCATCTGAGAATGAAGCGGTGAAGGTCACTTCTTTTTGTTAAAGTTTTTTTTTTCTAGAATTGATCTTCGAAAGGTCCATGGTGATGATTTCATATGCAAGCAATTAGCAAAGTTATATCAAACATTTAATCTGTGAACTTCCTACATCATATTCAGAGGTCTCTCTTCTCTGCAACATTTTCCTATCCACCAACTTCAGTACAGAAAGTGATGAGAGCAGAAATCATAGCCAACATCACTTGGAAAAGCATGTCCCTTGCTCCTATAGTTCATGTGGCTCTCTTGCCAAGCGCTGGCATGGGCCATCTTACACCATTTCTAAGGCTAGCTGCGTTGCTTGTTCACCACCATTGCCAAGTCACTCTCATCATTCCTCACCCCACAGTCTCTAAAGTTGAATCAGAACTCCTCTCTCGGTTCCACTCTTCATTCCCTCAGGTCAACCAAGTCCAGTTTCATCTTCTTCCTTATGATTCTGCCACTTCCAACACCTCCAATGACCCTTCTTTCCTTCGTTTTGCAGCCATTCGCAACTCTTCACACCTTCTCTCTCTTCTCCTTGCTTTAGTTTCACCACCCTTGTCTGCTTTTGTCTATGATATGACCCTGATTTCCCCTGTTCTTCCAATTGCTAACACCCTTGGTGTCCCATCATCATTGTGTCAAATGCCACAAGTCGCGGATCCCATCGTTGTGCTCTGTTCTGTTCTCCCTTAGCATCATATAGGTCATTAGGTACAAGAGCAATGTGGAGATCCACATGGAGAAGATGCTGCTGAGGGAGAAAGAGAGTAAGGAGATGTTGGGGAAGTGTGTGGAAGATTAATATTGCCACAATTGAAGTTGAAGTGACCAGACCCAGTTGTAGTGGCATGGAGACTGAAGTCTGGAAAAATAAAGGAGTCCCACATCGTTTAAAATTATAGAAATATTACTCTTTATATACAATATGACTTCGCACGAAGAGCGTGAAGCTTGCTATTGTCTTAAACCTCGTGAAAGTCACTAAACCGGGTTGTCTCTATCCAACCGCGGTTGCCAGTTTTTGTAAAAAATTGTCGAGTCAAGGCGGTTTATACCGGTTCGCACCGGTTCAGTGACATGAACGATCCATTGAGTGGCTCGGACCGGTTTCCGAGTTGAACCAGTCGGTCCGGGTCGATTTTTATAACATTTCTTTTGGGAAATAATATTTCACATACTGTAAAAGATAAATTTTATCTCTTACGTACTTATAAAAATGTGTATTCTCATATAAGATGATATGAAGAAAAAAGAGAAAAAAATACGGGTTCCACGTACTTTTATGTATCTCGTCTCCAATGGATCTCAAATGGGGATCGTAATACTCGTTTATTTCATTCATCTACTGTGATGCGTAGAAGGAAGAATAGAATTGAAGCTTTAAGATGACAATGGTGAGTGGATTGGTGATCCTAACCAATTAATGGATATGGGAGTTGCTTATTTTGAAGATTTATATCGGGAAGATTGCTTGTCGAAGCCTCTGTTGCCCACTTCAAATTGTTTTCCTGAGATACAGTCTGATGTTCTTCATCGCTTGGGTAGAATTCCGGATGTGGAAGAAATCAAGATGACTGTTGCGCAAATGGGATCTTACAAAGCTCCTGGAGTAGACAGTTTACATGCAACCTTTTTTCAATCCCAGTGGCATCTCATTGGTCCATCGGTGTGCAGTTTCATTAGGGAGGTGTTTGAGGATCCCATGAAAATTAAGGAGGTTAATCAGACTTTGTTGTGTTTGATTCCTAAGCTTGAGGCTCCTGAATCGTTTAAACACTTCAGGCCTATAAGCTTGTGTAATGTCATCTATAAAGTTGTCACCAAAGTAGTTGCCAATCGATTGAAGGACCTTATGCCTAGCATAGTCATGCCCAATCAATGCAGTTTTGTAAAAGGGAGGCATGGCTCTGATAATATCATTGTTGCCCAGGAGATTATTCATTCGATGGGTGCAAAGAAAGGCAAGCAAGGATGGATGGCTGTCAAAATTGACTTGGAGAAAGTTTATGATAGACTAGGATGGGATTTTTTAGAAAATACTCTTCATGATCTTAAGTTTCCAACCAATCTCATTCATCTTATCATGAGCTGTGTTTCGACTTGTTCTATGAACATCCTTTGGAATGGGTCCACCACTAAGGAATTTTATCCTACGAGAGGGATTCGCCAGGGGGATCCTCTTTCTCTATATCTCTTTGTGTTATGTATTGAGAGGCTTGGTCATCTTATTAATGCTGCTATATCCCATGCAGGTTGGAAGCCTATTGTCCTTAAGAGAAATGGCCCCATATATCACATCTATTTTTTGCAGATGATTTGTTAATTTTTGCAGAAGCTTCAACTGAGCAAGCTGGTCTAATTTCGAAAGTCTTAGACTGCTTTTGTAAAGCTTCGGGTCAGAGGGTAAGCATTAACAAGAGTAAGATCTTTTTTTCTAATAATGTCCATCACAATCGTGCTCAGGAAATCAGTGATCAGATGGGTTTTGCCTTAACATCTGATTTAGGGCGTAACTTGGGTATCCCGTTTCATCAGAGAAGAATTGGGAAAAGGTCTTTTAGCTATGTGTTGGATAGAATTAACAAAAGATTAAATTCTTGGAAGCAATCAAATTTATCTCTTGCTGGTAGGGTGACTTTGGCAAAATCAGTGCTTTCTACAATTCCTTTATATCCGATGCAAACTTCCATAATCCCTAAAACTACTTGTGATGACATGGAGCGTAAAACTAGGAGTTTCATATGGGGAGATAAGTAGATTGTAAGAAGACTCATTTAGTCTCCTGGGATACCTTATGTAGGAAGAAGCAGGACGGTGGTCTAGGAATTAGACAATTGAAAGGGATGAACCAAGCTATGATTATGAAAGTGGCTCATGGGTTGATGACTGATACTGAAGCTTTGTGGTGTAAAGTTCTCAAGAATAAATACAAAGTGTGCACCCAGTTGTTCCCAAATGTAGGAGTCTCTAGAACTGGATCGAATCTGTGGAAAGGAGTAGCTCGAGTTTGGCAGCCTGTGGTGGATAATTCTCGAGTTCTTCTTGGTAATGGACAGAACACGTCTTTTTGGAATGATCGTTGGGTTCCTAATTGTACTCCTCTTTCCCAGCTTACGGTGCATCCGATTCCTGAAGATTGTCTTTCATGGACGGTATCTGGATGTGTAACTAGTCAAGGGAGTTGGAACTGGAATTTATTTCAGCACCTGTTGCCTAGCTCAGTTTTGCAAAAAGTTCAAAACCTTGTGCCTCCTTTCTTACAAGGTGGTCCAGATAGAGTGATTTGGACAAGGACTAGCGACAGCAAGTTTTCAGTGAAGACAGCTTACTCTCTCATTGCACAAACAAAAGTGGTAGATAATGTATTTCCATGGGACAAAATTTGGAAATGGCCTGGTCCTGAGAAGATCCGTTGCTTTCTTTGGCTTTTTGTTGGGGATAAGCTCTTGACTAATGTGAAGCGTGTTCAGAGGCATATGGCTGATTCAAACATGTGTTCCAGATGCTTAGTTTCAGAGGAGAATTCCATACATGCTATTCGTGATTGTCATATTTCTAGAGATGTTTGGAAACTTCTTGTTTTGCAGGTAAAGCAAAGGAATTTTTTCTCCCATCGTTTCAATGATTGGTTGCAGTCAAACCTCGTGGTTGGTGATATGGGAGATAATCGGGAGTGGCCTTTGATTTTTGGTATTGCTTGTTGGTTCATTTGGAATACCAGAAACAAAATGATTTTTGAAGGATCTCAGGCTAATGCTTATAGCATTGTTCAACAGATTTGGTGTTACCATGATTATGTGTTGCAGTCTAGAGTTCTTTTTGTATCTTCTGGTCTTCATCGAAGGAATAAAGAGGAGCGATATATTCGTTGGATCTTTCCTCCAGATGGTTGGATAAAGATCAATGTAGATGGGTCTTGTACAATGGGAAGAATGCGTACTGGGTGTGGAGGTGTTCTTAGGGATGATACTGGGAGTTGGATTGTTGGCTTCTCAAAATACCTTGGTTGGGGTAATTCTCTTACAGCAGAAATTTGGGGTTGCCTTCTAGGACTTCAGATAGCTTGGAGAAGAAATTATCGTAGAGTGTGGTTGGAAGGAGACTCGGTGGTCGCTATTGATTTTATCAACAAAGACTGTAATCAGGAACACCCTCTGGCTACTTTGGTTCATCAGATTCGTCATTACATGCAAAAGGATTGGCTTGTTCATGTTTCCCATGCTTACAGGGAAGGAAATCGTCTTGCGGATGCTCTAGCTGGTCATGCTCATTCCTTTGGTTGGGATTTGCAAGAATTTACAGCTCCTCCAAATTATTGTGAATCCGTTTTGAGGGATGATGTTGTTGGCGTGGCTATGCCCAGATTGTGTCTTTAGTTGTTTTGTTTAATTTTCCTTGTATTTCAAAAAAAAAAAAAAAAAATTATCTCTTATAACATTATAAATATTAATTCCCTCTTTTTTTCGTAATGGGTCTCATTTTTTTTTTATGTACACGAGATAATTTTTTCTTATACAACATGAAATATCTATTCTCTTATATTATGTTGTATTATATGTAATAAGTGAGTTATTGAATTGAAAGGCTTCAAATTAATTATTTGCCAGGTTTCTTTGATAAATTAAATATTTAACCAAAGAGGATACAGCGATTATTTGTTGAGTTTTTTTTTTTAAAATAAATAAATTCAAGGGTGGTTTTTCTTAAGCATGTATTAAAAATGAATGACACTCATCTATGAAAAAAATAAAATAAAAGTGAAGGACACTCTAAAACAGTAAAATGTGTATAAAATCATTGAGAGAATATCGTTTACAATGGATTCAAAGTCGAGAAAATAATATTTGAAATTAACTTATTTTGTCTTTCAAGCCAACGTCTGAATTTTAAAAATCAAAGAAACAAGATAATAAAAAAGGCATGAGAAATAAGACGGATATTTCTCAAAATATGTAGAGTGTATTTGTGAAAATATGTGTGTTATTCTCTCAAGTCTCAATGATTCCATTTAACTTATAACCTTGAACGTTTCCTTAATTTGTAAACTATTTATAAAAATTAATAACTATTTTTTATAGAACTTTTGGATAAAAAACTGATGATATAAAAATCGTCAAACCAATTTTCATTAATAGTAAATATATGGTAAAAAAATAATAAGCTAAAAACTATTTATAAATTATAAATTATAAAGAATTAAATCATATTTATGAAATAAGATCAACTTACACAAAGTGTTAAACTTCATACTTACCCCAAATATTGTTCTTTCATGTTACTTCCATTCATAAGTTGAGACACATTCATTAAAACAAATAATTACATGACTAAATCTTCTCCTCCTTCTCGGACTACACCTCCATGAACCCACGGCAACAAACAACAGGGAATTTTAAAATTATATTGCAAAAGACTTCAGCATTTTTATTTATTTTTTTAAATGGAAACAACGAATTATTTCAATATTGGCTATTGTAGAACGTGCATTTTATTACAACACTAACAAAGACATGTTGAGTATTTTCAAAGTTGAGAATTCTTTGATGGTTCTTTTGCTCCAGAAGAGTTAGCTCGGATGGTCCTTATAAACTCATTTTCTTCAAGTGTGATGCTGCTACCCTAGTATCAGTGTTACTCATGTAAAATATTACATTTACTTGGTTGCAATTAAGGGTGTTAACAGGCTGAGCAGA